CTCTCTCTCTCTCTCTCTCTCTCTCTCTCTCTCTCTCTCTCTCTCTCTCTCTCTCTCTCTCTCTCTCTCTCTCTCTCTCTATCTCTCTCTCTCACGCGCGCTCGCTCGCTCACTCGCTGCTTTAGCAAAGTTTGCTAAAAAAATTTGGATGTCCCTGGGGGGATACTCTCTCCAGGATGTACCCCAGAATTTTGAACTTTACTAGGCTACCAGCCGGGCCGCCCGGGTCCCGGGTGGCCAGCCCGTGCAAGGACAAGGGAGGGTCCCAGCAAAAAAACAAAAAATCTCAAAAATCCGCAAAAAAACTATGTTATGCAGAAAAATAAACTGAACAACTTTTGCCTCAGGGTCACATCAAAATTCTTTACCAAATTTAAAATATAAAATAAAAATTTAAAATATTTTTTATTTTTTTTATTTTTTTTATTTTTTAAATCTTTTTGGCCCGGCCGGGCAAGTGACCCCGGGCCACTCTGGTAGCCTAGGAAATTTATGAATTTTTTAGTACAGTGTATTTTGGAATTTTTTCTTTTTTTAATTTTGAATTTATTGAATTTCTGGAAAGGTCATATGGGTGTGTGAGCTATCGAGAAATAGGCGAAAGTCTAGGTAGGTAGGTAGGCATCTTAGAATAGTCGCGGAACCCATCGGTGAAACCGTTTGGTGTATATATACGGTTTTTTTCAAATGTACACTAATGAAATGAAAGCTTTTGTGTCGAAGCTCTCCGGTTTGATGAAGCCCATCGGTGAAATTGTATGGCTTATATAGACGGATTTCAATGTACACTAATGAAAAGAAAAGTTTTTTGAATCGAAGTTCTCCCGGACGATTTGTCATACGAAGTCAGAAGTATACTCCGAGTTTCCCAGTACTATTTGTGAACGTGACATGTGAGAACAGAAAAGGTGGTGACTTGCCAAGTATATAAATTTGGAGACTGTACAAGCTTCCGTTCTGTTTGGCGGATGCACGGGAGCAAGGATGGCACCGGGAATACAGAAAATACACCGTATGGGAGCACTGATGAGATGGAGGATAGCGGGAATAGATGGAGGTATCTGGTTTGGGTGGTTCGAGGTGAAGCGAGTAGACCAGGAGCCATAATTAAGACCGATCCGAAGTAGGCACAACGACATGGAAGGTAAGGCATTTTGTTTGCACGGGAATCAGGGATGTAGGGGACATGAAAGGAAGGGATGGGCATGTGAGGTGGGACCGAAAGGAGGGAGGCAGGATTTGGGTAAATCGATACAAGAAGTTAGAGGGGTTGACTCGTTTGTGTGGTTCGAAGATTAGAAGTATATCGAGAAATCCGTTAGGAACATAGGTGTAGGATAGAAATAGGGGAAATCGACATCCATAGGATATAGGTGGTAGTACTGCGTTTTCTTCAGAAGGAAAGAGTGACGAGAATGACCGTTGTTTTTGAGTATTTATTATTTAAGCGGGTGTGAGAGACATTTTATCCTCACATCTACATGATGAGTGCTTATTCGATTGGGGAAGCCCCCTGAAGACTTTGTTGTGATATGCCGGAAACAAAATGTGACGGGCCGATGCGTACTCAAGAGAAGATGTTGTTTATGTTGTTGAGTGGATTTATGAGCATTGAGCATCTTCATCGAATTCTCCTTGAATCTCTGTGAGCGTGGAAACCGACGTGTTTAGACAGTGGATCGGTGGCTGCAGTGTTTTGAGTGTGGCGTTAGCTTGCTAATGCGTTTTGAGACCTCGAGTGTGGCTGTCTTCGAGGTGGTGGAAATAGGCATGATCAAGGGGAGGTCGAGGAAACTACTTAGCTTGGGATGTATGGTGGTGATCATCCTCGGTAGTGTTGCGTGGATTCAAGGGCCTAAGGATAAGAGTGAAGCAGGCAGTTGCAGATTTAGTTTACATATTTTCGTCACTGCAAGTTATCTAGAGAAGACGTAAGCAGGGATGTCGACTAGAAACGTTAGAGATATAGAAGTCGAGCATCGGTGGATTCACCAAGTACTTCTGGATTCAGTTCGATGGAATACGGGAGGGGCTGCACGGGGCAATCAAGGCAAGATTGCAGGAGGAGTACGGCCAATTTCCGATCGTGGATTGGATCACACCTACTCCGGACTTCCTAGTACGACAGCATGATACCATGATGGCATGCCTAAACACCCAGGGCGCAGTCTCACCGCAATTACTAGAAATCTGACACTTTGCAGTCAGGGACCAAATAGTGAAGGTTGTAGTCTCCACCAAAAGCAACCCGCTGTGCTTCAAATGCAGACGGAGAGGGCACATGGGAACAGACCCAAGGTGCCCAAAGAATGCAGACTCAGCAAGAAACAGGCCTTTGAAACCAACCAGCCTCGAGGAGGCCGAGGGAGAACCAGGCTTCTGGTTTGTCAGGGATGCTAAGTACATAGGATGGGTCTTTAATGACAACCTAGAGACCCCAGACTGGGTATGGGTCATGGATTGGGAACCAACCCAAAAACCAGACATCTACCCCCCATCTGACAGCAGTTGGCAGACCAAGAAGATCGGCAACAAGTCCACCAAGATTTTCACAACGGGTCAGATCTTAAACAAAGAAAGGGTGCAAGAAGAGAGGAGGTTAAGGGACCTCCAAATGGACCTGGACGAAACGGGGGAACTGACAGAAAGGAACTGGTTGGAAACGGTAAAAGAAGGGAAGAAGAAAGGAACGCAGATGGGTACAACAGCAAACGGCACACCAGACAGCACGGTGGTGCAATACACACGCAAGGGGAACTCAAGAGCGGGCCAAGAAAAGGAAGCCACTGCAGAGAGCGGAGAGGCGCAAGGGCAGGATGTGGAGATGTTCGAGGACAGAAGAAGTGGGACAAAGAGAAAAGGGGGGGAAATCACCATAGAATAACCCATCAGAAGAAAAGTTGCAGAAGACTACTATTATGGGCAAGAAGAAGAGGAATGGGAAAACAGACTCATCGAGGAAATCAGGGAATACATTCAAACAATGAAGGCACAGAGGGCAAGTATGTTTGAATTGCATATGGCCTACGTGAGAGAGGAAGTGAAGGCAAGGGTGGAGGAGATCCCACTCACAACAAACCCATATGAGCCACTCGAGGAGGAAGAGGAAATGACAAAATATTATGCCCAACAATACTGCCGAATTAAGAGAGACCGATCAAAGGTGCAAAAGAGAGGACAGGGGAACGAGGGTCAACGAGCAAAAGGAGAATGGAGAGAGGACAGATACAGGATGCCCGAACTGCCAGAGACCTACAACAAAAAAGGGGAGGAGGAGAGGAAGAAGGGAAATCAAAAGAGAGAGAACGTGAAGGAAAGCAGGGAACAAAGGGGGAACACCAAGGGGCAAAGGGAAGAGGGAAGGAAGGAGAACAACCCAGGAGAACAGCAAGATCAAGAAGAGCAGAGCAATGAAAAGGAAACGTTGATGCTGCAGTCTGCAGTGTTGGAAGCACATATCCAAAGGTTGTCGGACCTGAATGAGGAAATGAGATTGACAACAATCACAGTGGGCTCCTTAAACGACTGCAGGCAGGCGGAATTATGGAACAAGACCGTATCAACAAGCAAGATGCTGTTACCCTCAAGAACGATCTTGGCCATGATGTTTGACGTGCAGACAGAGGACTGGCAGATCGCAACAGCAACTAACTTCGCTCTCCCCAGATTGGAAAAGGGCCAAAGTATAGAGGAGAGGCTTGCATCTACGGTCTCTGAAAAGGAACCAGTCAAAGTTGGGGTGTTGGGGGAAACGCTGAGGGTACCCACCATGAATGGGAGGGGGACTGAAAGCAAGGAGGAAACCTTAGATGTAAGACCAGTGGTAGCCATATACAGCCCAAGGTCTTCCTTAAAAAGCAACCTGCA